CCAAGAGCCTCACGCGCTCACGATGAATGGGGGGGCTTTGGCCGAAGAACCTCCGATGCCAAAGTTAGAATTTAGAGAGAAAAAGTGTTTGAGAATTCTAGAGAATTTTAGCAAGAGTTGGAAGTCCTTTTTGGGAGAGAATGGTGAGCTATATATAGGGATATGGCCGGCCCTATTAGGAGAATAGGGACCGGCCATTTAGGTATTTTTTGGGTGTAAATTGTGGTTAATTAGCCATTAATAGATTAATTAGGTAATAAATCTATTGATTGACTAATTAACATATTTTGAAAGAAATTATTTGGGGAGTTATGGAATGATTAAGATAATTAGCTAATTGATTAGCTAAAAAAGGGAAAATGAGGTAAAAAATATATGGAATGAAATAGGTTTTGGGAGTTACCTTGTAGAAGGGATTTGATGAGATAGGTTTTGAATTGTTACCTATTTTGGGCACTTTTGACTTGGTTGATGGATGATTACCCATTGCCCGCGCGTAGGAATCCCGTTATGCCTCAAAGGTATTTTTGTCCTCTTTTGTCCACAAATCCATGTGTTGCCTTGTGATTATTTTTTGCTCCACAACGCTGTTTCACGGGACGAATTTTGGGTGAATTTTCGTTCCGCCTCATCCCCTGGAACAACTCATTCCACATCCGTGGAACACAAAATTATAACCTCTCCGTCTCCTTATTCTTCCTTCTTGTTTCCATCCGAGGGCATCTTTGCTCCCTCTCCGTTATGTCCCGTCCTGTTCCGTCCCGTCCCGTCCCATTTCATTCCGTCATGTCCCGTCTGCATACCAAAAGATACCTGAAAGAAAGATCAAGAGAGAAATATAGGGGATCTGCGTGTTGGTTATCCTAGAATTAAGGTTTTGATAAATGTCTTATTTATTTGATTAATAATTAAGAAAAAAAAGTTAAATATAAGGAGATCAATGCTTCTAATGTAATTAAATTAAAAAAATGAATTAAGTTAAAAAATATATATATATTAGAGGCTTATTCATCCACCACAAATAACTAAATTTTGTAGATGTGATTTTTTTTCGCCCCAAAAAGTAGTACACTAATAGGGGCATTTATTATTTCGCCTCTATCTATTACAATTAATAAAGACAAATCTATATTTCTGCTCCTAATAAAGATTAACAGGGACAAATTTTTATATCTGCCTCTAATCCACCGCCCCTAACAATCACTATTCTTGTAAGTAGTATTTTTCATGCTCTCATTTTTTTTATGCATTCCTCTCTTTATTTCTATTGACTCATTCTGCTTTGAGTTGAACCAAAGACAAAAAGGGGAGTAAGAAAATCAATTTCTTTGTGGTATTGTTACTTTAAAGTATTGTGATTTCAATTTTATCACTTTTGATTTGGTTTACTTTTGATACTAATTTTGCTCAATTTTGGCCTATTTATAGAACTTGGTGTGCACATGTGCTTCATGTTCCCTATGTATTATTAATCTTTCAGCATTAAATAACACTTAATAAGTTTAAAAAATGCAACAACAAACTCTGAAACACAATTTTTGGATAAAAAGGGACTTGGAAACAAGTTTTTGCTAGAATTTACTTAGAGTGAAACTAGCGTTACCCCAAACACAAATAAATTCAACCCAAAATAGTTTTCTAACTTTCAAGAGATTGAAGCCAATCTAGGAAGGAATGAACTACAAAATGTTAAATATCAAAGATTATAAATGTCTTTCATGATCATTTACAAAAGCATGTGAGCGAAATTTGTAAATGCCTTCTTTCAAGTAGTGATTTGCAAATCCTTCTTACATGTCTTTCAATGCTCATGAAAAGGTTTTCTAATCTCCTTCATCTAATATTTTATAGTATATTTGTTACTAATGTGATCTCAATCTCTTGAATCTTCGAAATCCCGCACCCAAACATAATTATAGGATTTAAAGCTATAAACCAAAAAACAAACTTCTTTCCATCAATAAAAATTTCTCATTTGCAAACCTTTTTTCCCTAGTGGGAACTCCATATAATATTATACTTGAAAATGTGGTAGAAAAAAATGCCTGAAAATGAATCACCTTTTTTTCTTCTTCCCACTTACAAGTTACAACATTCACACTACCAAGTTTACTAGAAAATTGGTATACCTATATGGTATTTAATTATATGTGAAGTGGTGAAGAAGTGCTTGATATCATATGTGAAGTGGTGAAGAAGTGCTTGATATCGTGGTGTTTATGTCCGCTTAAAATAATTACTGGCATGTGAACCGCTCAAAGAGGAGTAAAGAAAGTGCCAATACTTCTCAACTCTTTTCGTTTTGTTTCGGGCCTTTTATTCTCCAATATAATGCGATTTTGCAATCAGTGCTAGCTTTTCTTGCCTTCGTGGGTCTCAAGTAATAATAACCTTCTGAATTGACCAAAAAATAATTATAGCCTTCTGAAGAGTACACTTCTAATGCACATAATCATTCCCAATTTCCACAAAATAAAGTAACAAGAAACTGGGAATGCCGTAGTTGATGTATGCTATGACAAGTTTTAGTTAGAGCTTGCGTGCACGTATTTATATTTTAAGTGGCATGACCCTTAATTTGTACTCATGATAAGAGTTCGACTCTCGCTTCTATTATCTCTTAAGTCAAACAAAAACAAAGGCATAATATATCACAAGTTTATTTTTTCACCCAGAAACTTTGCTCCAATGTGTATCATACTTCACTCGTATTGATACGAAGTATTTTTATTCATACCTGACTTTTATTAAATTTTCATTATTTCTTTAGAAACCCTTATATAGCCTGATGAATTATCTTAAAAGAAAATAAATTACAGTTAAAAAGATACATATCTTTGTTCACAACGATAATTAGGTGGTCTATCTCCACCAGCTAATTAAATAGTTTGTTCTTGTTGGTTTGTGCTTAGCTATATATTATTTTCTTTTACAGGAAAATATTATTTAAAAAATAGAAATCATAATGAAACATTCTCGGTACTGTTCATTTTTAATGAAAATGATATTTTTACCTTGAAAAATCACTTATGATACTATTCACTTACACCTTTATTTTATTATTTTCATTAAAACTAAAAATTTTAAGAACTTTTCGTTAATTTTTCTTTAAAAAATCCTAGAGCATCACTCGCAAAGAATTCTTGATACTTTGGAGACTTTTGTATCCATGACAATACATGCCCAGACAAAAATGAAGCTAAATATTAATTAATTATTCCTTTATCAATTGTCAAAAACTCACTTCTTCTGTACATATCTTGGCTGCTACTTTGCCAAACTATTCGACATAGAATCAGAGTTCATTTCTCTTCTTTGGTTAAATAAAATTAACAACATTTGATAAACATTTATGATTAATTAAATACGTAATTCTTTGGAAGCATCTGAATAATACATAATTCTTAATAATAAAAAAAAAATGAGTTTTTAGTTCTATCTATTCATCCCCTTAGGGTTAGGAAAAGGATCCTTTCCAGATCCTTTTTGTGGGGATCTTAAGGATCAATCAATCATGGTCGTTCATCGCATATCGTGTGATCAGAAATTATTTAAAATTTAAAATTGAATATAAATAGTATATAACAAAAACTAATCGCACGATGTATGATTAACGATCGTGATTGATGAATTCTTCGGATCCCTACAAAAAGGATCCAGAGAGGATCCTTTTCCCTAAGGTTATACTCTGTGGGGACCAGCATATAGCATTACACAACAACATGCGCGGTCATTCTTAAGCAATAGTGTGCAACAGCTCGAGTATGCGTTGCCCATTGTAATGGGTAAGGACTCAAAATTATTGTGGATTCTTTTAATTGATTGAGAATCAAACGACCGCATAGATTATACATAACTATTTTCCTTGTAAGCCACCATCACAAACTGCCCATCAATCATCAAAACCCCAGCAATGAAGGAAACCAGTGCCCCATCACCGTGCAAACAACACCATAAAATCCACACCCACAAAACCAAGGAATCCAATGGAAAAACACAACCCACCGGAGACAGAGCCAATAAAGGCAAACAGGAGGAAGGAGGTGGTGCAAACACCCGAACCATAACTCTACTTACCTTCCGATAAAACCGCGACAAAATGCAGTTAAGAGATATGATTGCAGACCGTGGAAATCGTAAGGGGATGGAGCTAATTGGTCCAAAGTTCTAGGGTTTTCTTGTTTCGTTTTTGTTTGTACTAGGCTCCAAAACTTGTTTTGGGCTCTTTTTTGTGTACTTTTGAGGCTTAATTTTTTTGTTCTGTACTTAAGTTGTTTTTGGACCTCTATGTAACTTTGCTTGGCCTTTGTCCTAAAATAATATTTCCAGTTTACAAAAAAAAATAAAAAACTATTTTCCTTGTTCGAGCTACATATCATTTGGCATATTAATTACTTGGCTTTTTTATACAGCAGATCACAATTTTATATATTTATGAACTATTTGCATAATTTTATAAGGTATTTTTGCATGTACAAATAAGTTGTGATTTACAAATAAAGAAAATATATCTCTTTATTTTACATATAAGTATGACAAGCAAATTTGACCTCGACTAGTTGACTTGTATACAAGTGCACGAAACCTAAATAAAAAACGCTTTGTTTGACATGCTCTCCACTTTGTTTGAATAACAAGGCATATCTTGATGATTTCATAATATCTGTAAGCCACTTTGGACAAATTAAGTGAGGAAAATGATTATATATGGATCATACCATATAGTCAAAATAGTCCCTATCCTTTGATTGATCGGATTACTTTGTCAACATATACTTTTGTTTTTTTCCTCTCATATATATTTTTTATTTAGCTTGTGTCTTGAATTTCCTCACATATTGGTGTATCTAATATGAATGACATATGGTGGATGGTGGTTGATAGCATTGGGGAATCAAATTGGGTCAAATAAGAACAAGTCAATGAAACAATTAGGTTTCATCTCCGTCACTTTGGCAGGCTTGATTTTGATCAAGTTGGTGATACAAAATATATGTTGTTTACTTAGGATTTATATATAAATTTAGGCCAATTGGACAAAATCGAACAGCTTAATTGAGATGAGCTTATCTAGCTAGTAGCTAGGGAGTGAACAAAGCTCCATAGATTACACCGCCTTTATAGCTAGTTGAGAGAGAGAGAGAGAGAGAGTATAAGCTCTAGCTCTTCAATGGTACAAAGGACTGTCCTCAAGGTTGATACATCATGCCTAAAATGCAAGAAGAAGCTTCTCAAGGCAGTTTCTGGCCTACAAGGTAACATAATCATGTCCCCTCTTGAATCTTATTTCCTTAATTTCCCTTGGCATGGATGAATTATGCTTGTATCACTTCTTAGTTATTTAGAATAAGATTAATCACGACTTATCGTATGAACGTAGTATACAACATGTGATATTATCAGCAATTCATGCGTCCATAAACAACTACTAATCATTGATTGATAAAGGTCTCCCACAATATCAATGATTGAGAATCTCTCAAGCACGTGTGGACAACTGACCAAAATAAAACTCAACAGTTTATTAAGCATTTAAGCCTCACAACCTCAAAACCAAAAGTGTACAATAATATCTGTCATATTAATTAATCACCTCTGATCATTTCAGGTGTGGATAAAGTTGAAGTTGATGCAACCAAAGGAACTTTGACTGTAACAGGCAACTGTGATCCCTATGAAATAATTATTCGAACTAGAAAAGCTGGCAAATTTGCTGAAGTAGTGAGTATAGGGCCGCCTCCTGCTCCACCTAAACCTGCAGAAAAGAAGCCCGAAGTGAAGAAACCTGAAGAAAAAAAACCAGACCAGAAGGTCGAACACTTTCACATGCCCCATAACTGTGAAGTATGTCAAAGATTGGCCATTGTAAGGCTGGAGCCTAGTTATGATCACAACCCCTCCTGTTCTATCATGTGATGATAAAGTCAAATAACCCATGATATTGTCAAGGTCAATGATTTTGTATGATCGATCAATTTGTCAGTTTGGGTTAGAGTTTGTTAAGCTCAATCATTCGCGTGCTGATTAGTTGGAGACTTTTAATAGTTGATGGATGCATGTGAATCTCATTGTGGAAATTACATGCATGTTGAGTTAAAAATTGTTATTTTACATGAACGACTGACCTAATCATAATCTATAGAGTTATGTGAATTGTATTCATAGACAAGAATAATCATGTGTAAGAGTTAAAGCTCGTAAAAATTAGAGTGATAATGTTGATGCCATTCGTATTGTTCACACGCACACCTAATCATTTATCCCTTGTTGGTTTTTCTTTTTTTATTGGAATGCTTGGATGGACTTGTTGATTATTGTTGCATAATGCTTTTACGTTGACGTTTCTAAATAAGCAGGGTAACTGTCAAATACCCCCTCTAACTATGACAAAGTTGCCAATTACTCATTTGAATTATTTATTTCTTTGTCGATTTACCCTCTTAATTAGTATGAAGCTGCCAATTATCACATATTGTTAGATTTTAGAAAATCTCATCCAAATTCGTAGTGGCGGAGCCATATGGAGACCAAGATGGGCACGGGCCTATCTTGAAATATTAGTTTATATACTTTATCTGTTGGTTTTGTAACTAAAGAATTTGCGGCTTGGTGGTTAAAGGGGTTTTTGTGTTCCTGCAAGTCAGGGGTTCAAAACTTGTTGGTGAACCTGCTTCAAGTTCTTTATCAGCAATTTGATTTTTTGGTTAGTTGATACAAAACAAGGTGTTGTAAAAAATTATGAGAATGATTGAATGCCCACATGGGAATAGTAGGGAATAGTTTGTTGTGTTATGTTATGTTTTTTCAAAAGTGGTTTATCACGGATGATTGTTTGGTTTGTCACAGGTGATTTTCATTCTCTATAAACTTACGGATGTGGATCTACAAATAGAGCACTCCACGAGTGATCAAGATACAACAACTGAAAGAGAAAAGAACTAAAAGCAATAATATCAGTATCCCTCCCTTCCTCTTTTTATCTGCAATCCATTTGTGTTATAGTTACGAAACAAAACAGTGTGATATTTTGCACCTACTTCACTCATGTCCTTAACAAAGGTTATCTCTCTAACTTTTGCATATTTATAACATGTTATCAGCACAACTCTCTAATCCTAAACAGTTCTCATCATCATTCGTCGAAAAATGCTTCCTCTAAGGATTTTACTATTCTTCTTCCTCATCTGCATCACCTGCTGGATGTACCATCGCGAAGAACTGCTAGCACCATGCATGCTTCTAGTTCTCAATATAACAATTACTTATATCTTTGATTTCTTGTTTGGTATAGCTCTTGATTACTAACTCATGTTTATTTATGTTAATTTTACTGCAATTGAAGATGGTGCGGTATCATCACCCATCTTGAACTGGAGATTTAATTTTATTGCAATTTTAGGTGGTGCGGTATAATTGTCCACCTTGCTCTGCATATTTAAATTTTCCTGCTGCTTGAGTGGTGCGATACAATCACCCATCTTATGCTATATTGTTTTAATGAGAGTGGTGCGGTACAATTGCCCTCCTCATTAATCATGTAAATCTCGAGCCTAAAGTTTCGAGTGCTTATCATTTTGGCCCTAAAGATCAAAATGAGAACTTTGTAAGAACCAGAAGTTCTAACACTATATTCCTCCATAATGCATATTATTGCAAGTTCTTACACATCTTATTTTTCTTTCAGAAAAGAAAATGGCGAACTTAGCAAAGCTTGATTTTGTTGCCCTAGATATTACTGGGAAGAACTACCTTACCTGGGTAGTAAAGGCCAAGATCCATCTGGAGGCATGGAATCTTGGAGAAACCATCAAGGAGGAGAACAGTGCATCCTCTCAAGATCGGGCGAAGGCCATGATCTTTATCTATCGCCACCTTGATGAAGGACTGAAGAGCGAGTACTTAACGGTTGAAGATCCATTAGCCCTCTGGAAGGCATAAAGAAATAGATATAATCACCAGAAAATGGTGATTCTTCCAAGGGCTCGTTATGAGTGGACTCACGTGAAGATATAAGATTTCAAGTCGATGGTTAAGTACAATTCTCCAATGTTCAGAATTAGCCCCCAGATAAAGCTTTGTGGGGAAACCATCATTGAGGAAGATATGCTGGAAAAGACTTTCAGCACCTTTCATGCTTCCAACATGCTCATGCAGCAGCAGTATAGAGAGCAGGGCTTTACCGAGTACAACTAGCTAATATTTGTACTCATTGTGGCTGAACAAAACAATGAGCTTCTGATGAAAAATCATAAGTCCTGACTTACTGGATCAGCACCATTTCCATAAGTGAATGCTGCTTCATTTGAAGTGAATACCATTCTATCATGGCAATAATTACAAACGAGGACGTGGCCACAAGCGAGGCCGGGGGAATGGGAAAAACAAGAATCATGGTGTCCGGTTTCAAAACCAAGTTCCAAGGCATAATTTAGGCCCGAGCTTCACAAATGTAAATCACCACAAGGGAAAAGCTTATATGAATAATACTCCTAGAAATCCTAAAGTAGTTTGCCATAGGTGTGGTGGCAATGGGCACTGGGCATGTACCTATCGTACCCCAAAACATCTGGTAGACTTGTATTAAGCCTCCCTCAAGGATAAAGATGTTGAAACCAATTTTATTGACCATGCTAAACCGATGGATATACCCGATCTAGTGTTCGACTTATTAGGGCAATTGAACATAACCTACCTAGATGTCTCAGAATTTATTGTGGAAAGAGGGAATGAAGTGTATCGGTCCGATTGAATCATTTATGTTTGATGTATTCTTATTACTGAGCTTGTAGTCTAAAGATTGCATTTCAATTCAATAAAAGTGGCATTTCAATTTCCTTTTATCATGAATAAATTGTTTTTAACTGTGATTCCCTTACTCAGAGAGTATGGATAAAAATTATGGTTATTCCCAAAACAAGAGAAATGGTGGAAATATTTGTCTTGCAGACAGCGTAACCACGCATACAATACTTCGAGATCGAAAATATTTCTCAAGCTTGATGCTTACAAACGTAAAGGTAACAAAAATATCAAGCCAATTAGATGTAATTGAAGGCTTAGGAAAAGCCCATATCATGTTACCAAATAGAACAATATTGTCCATACAAAATGCGTTGTACGCTACTCGGTCTACTCAAAATTGGTGAGTTTTAAAGACATGTTTAAATGGATATCACATTGAAACAAGAAGGGCAGAAAATGTGGAATATATATGCATTACCTCCAATGATACCCAAAAGCGTATATTAGAGAAGTTGCGTGGTGTATCGAGTGGATTGTATTATACATACATAAAGACAATTAAAGCACATACTATCATGAACCAGAAGTTCATTGATTCAAAAATTTATATGCTTTGGCATGATCGTCTGGGTCATCCAAGATCCACCATGATGCGAAGAATCATTACCAACGCTAATGGACATCCATTATTGAGCAAACACATTGCTATCACACATGATAACCCTTGTAAAGCTTGTTCTCAAGGGAAGTTGGTAATTAGACCATCACAACTAAATATTGATGCTGAATCCCCATCATTTTTTGCAAAGAATTCAAGGGGATATTTGTAGGCCTATTCAACCACCTTGTGGACCATTTCAATATTTTATGGTTTTGGTTGATGCATCTACCCGATGGTCACATGTTTGCCTCTTGTCTACTCAAAATGTAGCTTTTGCGAGACTTATTGCTAAGATAATTAAGTTGCGAGCATAGTTCATAGATTACCCCATTAAGTTAATCATACTTGATAACGTTGGTGAATTTACGTCTCAAACCTTTGATGATTACTACATGACATTGGGCATTGGTGTTGAACACCTTGTTTCTCATGTCCATACTCAAAATGGTTTAGTAGAAGCATTTATCAAGCGGCTTCAATTAATAGCTCGCACTTTGCTCATGAAAACAAAATTGCCAGTCTCTGCATAAGGGCATGCCAGCTTACATGCTGCATCATTGGTTCGATTAAGACCTATAGGCAACCACCAATACTCATCAGTACAACTCGTGTTTGGGAATCAGCCAAACGTTTCACATTTACGAGTTTTTGGTTGTGCTATTTATGTGCCTATTGCACCGCCATAACGCACTAAAATTGGACCTGAGCGCTGACTGGGAATTTATGTGGGTTTTGATTCACCATCTATCATTAGATATTAGGAACCCTTGACAAGTGATATGTTTACAGCTCGTTTTGCTAATTGTCACTTTGATAAGACAGTCTTCCCGTCGTAAGAGGGAGAAAAGACCGTTCCAGAAAAATGGCAAGAGCTGACATGGGTTGTACCTTCCTTATCTCATTTTGATCCACGAAGCACTCAATGTGAAAATGAAGTGAAAATGATCATTCACTTTCAAAGTATTGCTAATCAAATGTCAGATGCATTTAATGATGCTTCGAAAGTGACAAAATCACATATACCAGCTGTAAATGCACCTGCAAGAATTGATGTCCCTGTTAGACAAAATAAAGTGATAGCGAATGATTCGTCCAGTGCATGCCTGAAGATTGTGGTAGACCCCCAGGTTCAAAAGATTCAGCCCTTCGAAAGAGAAAGATGAAGGCACTGCTGAATCCAAATGAAATCATTCAAGAAAAGAAAATGAATGACAAATCCACAATTCATGATTCTGACTTTCAGAAAAAGAAAATGTCCTTGATGAGACACGTCCCTGAAGAGACAAAAGTACATGAAAACAAAGAAATCTCCATAAATTAGGCATGTACTAACGAATTGTGGAATCGAAATAAAATAACCATCGACGACATGTTCGCATTCGTAGTAGCTAGTGAAATCATATTAAGCGATGATATTAAGCCCCGCTCTGTTGATGAATGCAAACAAAGACAAGATTGGCCTAAGTGGAAAGATGCAATCCAGGTAGAATTAAATTCCTTGGAAAGGCGAAGTGTTTTTGGACCAGTAGCCTAAACTCCGCCTAGTGTAAACCCTGTGGGTTACAAATGGGCATTCACAAGAAAACGTAATGAGAAAAATGAGATTGCAAGATATAAAGCACAACTCGTTGCACAAGGTTTTTC